TCTTTCCCTGTCCATTTTTTTGTGGAATACATTAAAGAGAATTCAGAGTCTGAAGGAGGGCTGGATGTAATTATTTTCATATATTTTAGTCGTCGTGTTTCATTTCTGAAAACAGTACCTGACTCATTTGGCAGAGAGCTGTGTTTAGTTCTCTCCAAATGAAGATTTCCATGCTATGTGCACTTCAGTTTGGGGCTGAAGTGGAAGGAGATGGGAATAAAACCATTTCATTACACAGTCATTACTCCTTGCAGTATTTTCCATTGAGGATCCCTCTTCAGTTGGCAGTTTCAGACAGTATTAGATACTGCCATATTTGGAAGATGGGATCCTTAAGCGGTGATTCTTTTTATGCTTTGAACTGTTATTTGTTTGACAAGGTTGGGGGTTTTTTGGATGGAGTCCTTTGAATTCTGGTTTGGCAATGAATGGAGGCTGCTTTCACAAAACCTCTGCAAAGTGCAGTTGGAAAGATTTACACCATGCCTTGTCGCACTACTGATTAAAATAGCACTTACGTTTTTCTGACAGTTTTCTGGTAGCACTGTCTGTGGTAGCAAGTAAAACTGATTTATTAATATTTGTGATCTAAACCCCTCCCTCTGGAAGCTTTTTTCTTTCACCTTCTCCTGTCAGAACTTTACCAAGAGCACCGATTCGTCACAATAAAACAACATGGTTAGCAGCTCTTTCTAATCCATCAAAATCCATTTGCAAGCTTCTGTTTTGATTGGAACAGCAACCAAAACCACACAGCTGATGCAGTAGGTGAAACTTATAGCCTTTGTGAACTGCTGGAACCCTTGAAATAGTTGTATCAAGTTAAGTACTCTTAAAATTACAAAAAAATGAAAGATACAGAATTGGCACAAGCCTGTTGGAAGTACTTCACCTTACCTAGGTGTTGGGCATTTGAAAGTTCAATTTTTTGTATCCTAAGAAAGATGATGCTTCAAAGCCTTCTGCTTCTTTGAGTAGAAGGTATTCAGGCATTAAAGTTAAATTACTAGGCATTGAGTTTCTTGCAAGGGGACCATTGTTGACTTTCCATGGCATGAAAGGCAGATAGAGGTTGAGGTTGTAACATCCAGGAATGAGCATTAACAGAGTGCTAACCTCCAGGCATGGACGCTTAGTACCACTGTGTGTGCGATGCATGCAGTAGGTAATATCAGAGGTCGACAGCAATGTTAACAGCTCTCTCCAGCAGTCACTTCATCTGCAGATCTGTCCTTCATCTGCAGATCTACAAAGGAGATAGAGGAAGGAGCCCTTCTGACACAGACTCTGCATGAAAACTAGATTATCTTTAGGGCCCTGGACTTCAAATAACATTGCTTTTGACCCTCATAATGGAGACAGCTTTAGGGAGATGTTAGATCTAGCTGGTTGGCTGGCCAGTGGCAGCCATACTGCATACAGGAGTAGGAGAGCATCCACATAATGCTTACATTCAGGGAAGGTAAGAGCATACAGCAGTTACAAAAGACAGTCTGTTCCTTCTTAAATTTATGTCTCTGTTACCTTAAATATTTACATACATGCATGTGTTTGGTATTTGAGTAACAGAAATAACCCTCCTCTGGTTCTTTACACCTTTTAACGTTACGTCACATAAGAGAACTGGACTGAATTAAGGCACATGGACAAAGGGCAATCGGAGGCAATTGTACTCCCTGGTGTCCTGCAGCTCTGGTCCTCGTTCCTCATGGTAAGGCAGTGTTATTCGTGATGATCATTTGGCGCTTATGTAATAAAGCAGTGAACAGATTCAGTGAACAAATTAGGTATCGTCATTATTGTTTCTGGCAAGGAGATTTTTGAGCTTTGTGCAAAAGCAAGGAAGAAGTAGAAAAGAAGCAGTTCCTGTTAGGATATGACTCTCTGGAATTAGTCTATGATGAAAAACAAGGTTTTATGCTATAATTGCAAACGTTCTGTTTGTACCTTGCAGTGAGCCACCTCTATGGATTTGGACTGATGGATGCTGAAGCAATGGTGATAGAAGCAGAAAAGTGGACGACGGTCCCTCCACAGCACGTGTGTGTGGAGAACACAGATCGGCAAATCAAGTAATACGCGCTGCCAAAACTCTTGCTGGCATAAACTTATGGAAAGAAATTGGGTATAATTTACCCCTCCCTTGCATTGTGTATAATGTGTCATTTTGAAAACTATACTGGGGATCTCTGTCACCTTCACAGATGTCAGGTCATTTGCCGGTAAAGGTTGTTTCCTGTAATGCTTGGAAAAAGGCCCTAGTTTAAAGAATGCACCAGAAGTTGTAGGTCTAAAACAAGCCAGGCTGGATAATGATTGATTCTGGTACAGATGATGCACTGAAGAAGAATCTTTGTTTGAGTGCACTTCAGTCACCTTTGTAAGATGAGTACAGACTTATCAGTCCAGGATCTAACAAGCAAATACTCTTTTCATTAAAATACTGCATATTATCTCTCTCAAACAGTCTCAGGAGAGTCTCTGGCTCAGAGGCTAAGACTAAACTGTTTTCTGCTAGCTAGGATAGGGTCTCTATAGAGCCAGGATTAAGAGCAAAATTCCATATGTGCACTCTGTGGATAGAGACAGCATCAGTCATAAGGCACACTTCCAAAGCATTAAGATTATTGTTTGGTAAATACGCTTGTCAGACTCGACCCACAGCTGGTATAGTCTGCAAGGATGTCGTGACAATTTAAACCAGTTGAGTCAGATGCTGTTTGGTACAGTTAACATGTAATACTTGTTATTACGTAAGCAAGGACTATGGCTATGCCAGGCATTTCCTGGGGCTTAACAACCAGCTGTGATCCCATGACAGTCCCAGCAATTCTCAGCTGGCCACTAATCCACAAAAATGCTCTGTCCCAAAGGCTTATTCCTATTACAAGTTTTTCACTGTCCTCTTTTAGCATGTGTACATACTTAACAGAAAGCCAGGTAGTTGCCATTAGCTGCAGTAAAATAATTACCCTGTGGTGATAGTTTCAGCTAGAAAGTAAGTTTTAAAACTAAGGGTTATAGGCTACCGACTCCTCAGAAACCATTGTCCAACACTGTCATTCACTACTAAGCAAAAAAAGATGTAGTTGTCTTATTTTACAGAACAAGCAAGAAATGCTGATGTTGTTTTATATGCTTATATTATAGAACAATACGACCTGACAGTGTTGTCCGTTCAATTTACAAAGCCACTGGCTGCTCAGATAATCCTAACCACCATGTCATCTACTTGGAGCATGTCGTTGTGCGCATCACTATTACTCACCCTCGACGTGGAGATTTGGCAATTTACCTAACCTCTCCTTCTGGAACTAGGTCACAGCTTTTGGCCAACAGGTATAGTATGACAACGCAACTTCATAGTCAATTCAGCATGTAAAGCCTGCACTGAGATTGCAGCATCAGCAAAGAACAGTGAAGTTGTTACAGTAGGTTCACTGGCAGACGCAGGCTAATTATTTTTTCTGAGAGAGATGGGAAGAGTGAAGTGCAAATGAACTCAAAGATGCCAATCTCTATCAGTAGAAGAGTAGGCTCTAAAGCTGTTGAAGGACATAATCTCCAAAACAAAGATTAGTCAATTTCATAGAATCATAGAATCATAGAATAGTTTGGATTGGAAGGGACCTCTAAAGGTCATCTAGTCCAACCCCCCTGCTGTGGGCAGGGACATCTTCAACTAGATCAGGTTGCTCAGAGCCCCATCCAACCTGACCTTGAATGTTTCCAGGGATGGGGCATCCACCACCTCTCTGGGCAACCTGTGCCAGTGCTTCACCACCCTCAGCGTAAAAAATTTCTTCCTTATATCTAGTCTAAATCTACGCCCCTTTAGTTTGAAGCCATTCCCCCTTGTCCTGTCGCAACAGGCCCTGCTAAAAAGTTTGCCACCATCTTTTTTATAAGCCCCCTTTAAGTACTGAAAGGCTGCAATAAGGTCT